CCCCAAAACCCCAAAACCCCAAAACCCCAAAACCCCAAAACCCCAAAACCCCTCTTGGGATGGCTAAAATTGAAAAATATTTACTGAATAATTGAGGTTTTATTAAATATAGTAAAGTTTATCCTTCAAAGCTTCAGGAGTCTCTGCTACTTCGACTTGGTGATTGCATATTTTGGAGATTTGGTTGCACATTGTGTGGGCGTACATTAATGGTGAGGGGATTCTTACTGCGCCTTGGAGGTTGTAGAATCCATAGCAAAGAATGTTAGTAAGATCATACAAATCCTTCGGATCCAAGTCTTGGAAAGTATTCTTAATGACTTCATATCTAACTGGTCACTGTAGACCTGTAGGGCCTGCATGGGAGATCATATAAAAGTCAAATCTATCAGTTCTTGTGATTTTGCTCTCGATAACAAGCCCTCTTCTTGGATTTTTCAAATTTCCTCGTCTATCCTGAGTGAAAAATCTTTGCTCAATTCTCTTGTTGACAAGGATGAACAAGATGCTCGGCTCTTCTTCAATCTGCCCGGAATCCTTAAGGTTCTTTATGGCCTTTTCAAGCTCTGGTACTTCTGTTCCAAGAGTTACTTCAGACTGACCTTCGGATACAGCATCTCTATAAATTATGATTCTTTGAGGAAACAAGCCATTCTTGGTGTTGAACTCCTGCAGAGCCTCTATGAATAGCTTCTGTATCGAGAATACAATTCTTTGCTCCTCTCCTTGCGATACTGAAGCACTGTAAAACGAAGCGACGCACTTGTCCTTGGATGCTACTAAATTCAGCACAGATTTCTTATTTGTTCCAACTCTATGACAAACATCCATGCCAATAATCATGGTTGGTTTGTCCATCAGAGGCAGGCTCTTGAATACCCACGGAGAGTGGCCCATCTTCGCTCATATCTGGATCATCAAGTTCTTCATTATGTTCCTTAGACTTCTTGAGTTTCTCGAAATTGTATCAGATAATATCACTTGTGACGGAATATTTCACTCTGTTTGGAGATAATACTTCAAACTTTCGTAGATCGGAGAGCTTCCCTTTCTGCCAGGAGCGATGCAGATAATCACATCCAATGAGTGGTCTTGCTGAAGGTAATAAACTGAGTCAATCCAGGTCTGGGGGTTCTTATCATTACCTTTTAGTTTTATTTCAAGTGGCTTCGTACATTTGTATTCGAAGTCTGTAGTTACCGTTTGTTTTAACTGCTTCATAAATGTATCATGCTCTCTCATACTGCTCTTACCATAAATAATAGCCCATCCGTTAATCTTCTTAGCTTTGAATGGGGCTGAAAACTCTCGAGAGAAGTCTCTCTGCATTTCGGAAAGATCAAACTTTGCCTTTTTACCGCCATAGACATTACTTAAGCCACACATATGTGCTTTAGCATCTATTGGGGTTTCATCAATGGAGATCTTCCATTTTTCTGTAAGTTCTTTGTGAGTTTCGTGGTCTTGCTTCAAAGCCTTGAAGAAGCTTTTAGCTTGCTTGGACTTCATATCAGCATCAGCAAACATTTGGCTTTTGATTTCTTTAAAATTTATTGCCTTTTGTCTTTCAGTGATTCCTGTCAAGACACAGAACTCTGGGATTAAATAGAGATCTTGGTTAGTTCTCCGGCTGTGGTGCTTGATCATAGGCTGGTTAAAGTCGGTGACTTCAAGCTTGTAGTTCTCCTTCACATACTTAGCAAAGCTCATCTCTTTATTTTTACTGTGCTGGTCACAGAAGAAAGTATCTCTTGGATTCTTCGAGAAGTCAATGTCATCGATCTTGTAAACTCTTTTATTGTAGATAGTCATTACAGATCTATGCATGAATGCATCTCTGGCACTTCTCTCATCTCTCAGATTATTCAGTTCTTCAAGTAGAGTTCCTTGTTGGAAAAATTTCACTGAAGGATTCATGTTTAAGTAAATCTTTCCTCCAAAAGTTCTTGTGGTGTTGAAGTAAGCTCTGTACATATCTACACCATCAAGTTGCTTTGGCTTGCTAGGGTCAAAATGCTTTCCTGCTCTTGCAAGCCTGAACTTGCATTTCCTCAGCATTTGGTTGAGAAAAGCTCTGAAGAACATTGTCACTCTTGGGTTATCGAAAGGAAGTGCTTTATGAAGATTTATAGTAACAAGATAGGGTACTCCATCTTCTTCAATCTCTCCTTCTGCAAGTGCACTAATATCATCAAACTTCTCGAATGAATAGATGAAGCCTTCCCAGTAAACATAGTTCTCAAACTGTTGTTCAAGATTTGGTCTGAGTTTCTTCATAATTTTTGCTAGTTTCATCTTTTCTTCATTTGAATGACAAGTCAGCTGTGGTTCAGTTTGAATTTGGTACTCAAATAATACATTTCTTCCTCCTAAGTCGCACTTGAATTCATAATGATTGGTAAACACATCGACTGGTCTTCCCAATCTCTTGCTTTCAGGTCTCAGCGGGAAGGGATGATCGACTTCCATGCCTGAGCCTTTGCTGCTGCTTGAACTTTTATTCTCTAATAGTTCCATGTGATTTATCAAAAATTAATTAGACACTTGGGGTTTTGGGGTTTTGGGGTTTTGGGG